AAAAAAAAAGGAAAGAAAGAAAATGGGATGCAGATTAGCTATTACCTTTCATTAATTTTATTTATTTATTTATTTATTCATTTATTTATTTGAGACAGAGTCTCTGTTGCCCAGGCTAAAGTGCAGTGGGTGGTGCACTCTTGGCTCACTTCAACCTCTGCCTCCTGGGTTCACGTGATTTTCCTGCCTTAGCCTCTCAAGTAGCTGGGATTATAGGCATGCGCCACCACGCTTGGTTAACTTTTGTATTTTTAGTAGAGATGGAATTTCACCATGTTGGCCAGGCTGGTCTCGAACTCCTAACCTCAAGTAATCTGCCTGCATTGGCCTCCCAAATTGCTGGGATTACAGGCATGAGCCACCGTGCCAAGCTTTTTAAAATTTCAACTTTTATTTTCTTTTAACCAGAAGTAGATGATTACTTCTGCTCAGAAAAAAATTTAGCCTTCTCTGTTTCTGAAAAGGACAGGATCCATAAGAAAAGTAAAGGAAAGATCATAAGAAAGTAAAAAAGAAGAAAATGATGGGCAACTAAGGGTCCCCTTGTTTTCAGTGATTGCCAAATGTTTAAAGTGAATTCAAGGTACAGTGAATTAGAATGTGAGTCACTCTGCTTCCAGGGATTTCTCTGAGGACTTTCCTTGACTCTCAAATAACAGGCTCAGTGATACTAATAAAACATAAAAGTCCAGGTCTTCACACTCATTTTGGCAAGCTGGCCAGCCCTGCCATCTGTGCTTAGCTGTACCCAATACAGGTGAGCTCCACAGGAGGCTCAGGGGCGAGGTGAGATGGAGGAGGAGCGTCCTGAGATGGCTGCATTATTCTTGTTTTCTTCCCAACCTCCCTATGGCCCAGGAGTGCTCACAGTCACTATGCCTAACAGGTGGAATCTTGGACCTTTCTGCTCAACTTCCAAATAGCCACCAGGCCACTTCCACCTGGATCCTGAGACTGCCTGTGGGGAAGGAGTCATGGCCGGCATTTTCCTTACAAGGATTTTCATTAACTGCAGCTACTCTCAGGCCCTCCTTTTGTCTCAAGATCATCAGTGAAGTGAGATGCAGTTAAGAGGCATTGTGGGACAGGCTTACCCAGAGGATAACAAATTCACTCAGTAGGAGTTGCATAGTTGGAGGGCTGCTACCAGCTAACAACTGCCAGTGCTACTGAGAGTCTATCTGATCCTCAAAGTGCTGGAGCCCCACAAGCTGAAAACCACTGCCCAAGATCCTGGTGGCTAACACCAAACTTCCATGAATCACGTCATTTAGCAAAGCACGGAGACCCATCTTCTAGCCTAAGTGGGATGCTCAGAAGCCTTCTTCAACTTAACCAAAAACACATTTTATGCTGAAAGTAATTTAAGAAGACAATAATGGTTGAAGCTTATTGAGTACTTGCCCTGGGTCAGCACTTTTACGAATTAACTCGTGTAACCCTCACAATAGCCCCATGAGGACATGCAGGCTTGGAGAGGTTGTGTCATATGCCAGAGGTCAGGGAGCAGGGGGTTGGTGCCATGAGGATGTCAACCAGTGCACCACAGAGAAGGACAAGGCTGGTGCCCATTGGTTGTTCACAGAGAGGTGCAGTGCACATCTCCATGAGAATCTTTAAAAATCCTCAACCCTCCACAAAACTCTGCCCCACAGAAAACCGCACATAAGCTGAAGGTGGCTTCCAGAGTGTGTTGGGGAGAAACAATGAGGGCAGTGGAGGCCAAAGAGCTCCCCAGCACAGCACAGAGGAGGAGAGGGTGGGGAACCCATGGGAGGTTACAGTCTCCTCTTGGTCCACACCTGTTGGTCATATTTATTCAAAGGAGATGAGAAGACTCCAGCTTTCTTCCCATCACATCACTAGAGCTCCAGAGAAAAGGGACTGTATTTCTTTGGCTCACTCTCCATCCTCGGGATCGATAGCAGTGCCAGGTACACTGTAGATGCTCAAGAAACATTCAGCAGCACTTACAGCACCAGGTACATTCAACAGCACCTCCAGTGTCATGTACATTCAACAGCATCTCCAGAGCCAGGTACATTCAGCACCACCTCCAGAGCCAGGCACATTCAACAGCACCTGCAGAGCCAGGTACATTCAACAGCACCTCCAGAGTTAGGTACACTGTAGGTACTACTGAATGAATGAATGATTACAAGGTTCCAAAACTCAAGTTTTATAGGTTATTCTGCAATCCCAATACCCTAGTATTTGGTAAACTGGTTCATGCTCGTTTTATACAAACCGTTCTTTTATCTACCATAATCTATCCTGTATATATTATTTTCATACTATAAAAATGCAAATACAGTGTAAGATAACATAACAACAACAAAAAAAGTGTGAGGCTTTTGGCAGGAATTACCTGAACTGGAGGGAGCGTCGGATGATAGTCAGGGACATGAAATCCCCTCTCCCGTGTTCGTTCTCCCCACAGTAGAGCAGTAAGCCATCCTCTGCCTCTGCCTGTGATTATACAGACAAAAGCCACAAGAACAGTAAGCGCCTCCCCTGCCATAAAGCGCCATCTGGAAAAACTCACAAATGTGAAACTTGAGCATTTTCTCCACCATGATCCTATCTACAAAGGGTCACGCACGTGGGCTCCAATTCACTCCCAGATACCTGGTCCCAGTTCATTTTCAATAAACAAATGGCAGTGATATAAACTGTGTGTGGCATGCACTGAGGCGAGAGGAAGCTGACCCCATCTTTGACCCACTCTTTCCTTGTCTTTGTGGACACACCTGCAGAGCCTCAGAAAACCAAATGTACAAAGGCCACGAGCACAGTAAGGACGTTGCTGGTGCACATCCAATTCTATTCTCACCAAAGAGCATTCCATGTTTCACTTTGTTCTCTTTATTTCCCTCCCTCTTGGGAGGCATGCAAATTCGCTTCTTCTCTCAGGAGAACAGGATGATAAGAACAGCTCAGCTGAAAGCTGTGCTGGTGGTCTTGGACTAAGGTCATTTCTTGAACGCTCAACACTGTGGCCAGGACTTCAAATGGGACCTCTTTACAGACTTCCAGACCTTTCTGTGTCTTTGGAGACACCCAAAAGAATCAGTTTAAGATGAGATCACTGATTAAATTCTTATCTGCAGTGATTCAGATCAGAGAACCTCCATTGGGCCCTCATGATGCAAGGGTTGCGTAGAGAACTTTTTCTATTTGTTCAGTGACAGCTATCACGATGAAGGCACAGAATTGGGCTCTGCTTTTAAACAATCTGGAGTGAGGAATGCATTGTTTCTTCTCAGTCCTGACCTGGGAGAAATCACTATTATGAACAACACTGCTAGGACCCTGACATTCTCACTTGGAACCTTCACAGCAGCCCCTCCATAGTCCAGTGTTAAACAAACCCACCCTCTCCTCACTGTCACACTTGCATGTTGTGAATGTGCCCCTCATTCCTACTGTCTCATGAGCGACTTTAGAGACAGGCTCTGTGTCATCTTTACCTTTGATCGCCCTCCCTGCTGCCTCCCTTCCTCTCCCCCAGCCTTTGAATATAGTACATTGCTGTGTTAAAGTGTCCAAAAAGCACTCATCAAACAACACATCCTCTTACCCTAAATTCAAGAGTAATTTGAAATGCCTGATAGGAGTTCTTCAGAGGTTCAAACGTTACATAGGAGTGGCCAAAGAACTGAGGATACTGGATAACAATATCTGAAGAATAAAAAAGACCACACAAAAGAATGCTATTTCCTCACTTCTTGAAAAGCAAAAATCAATATACAACATTGCCTGGATACCTCTGAGTGAGAACCCTCACTAATCTGTTCAATTTCACTGTCTCCTTTTCTATACTTTTTATACCTACAACTCTTATTATTGGAGCCTTTGAGCTTCTGAAATTCTTAGGAAGAAGCGGCATTTTTGGAGCCTGGCCCTGGCTTTTCTAAGAAGAAACCAATGGCTTTAAGAGCACTGTCACTTGCCCTCAGCTATAAGGGCCTTTGTGTAATATAAGTTGGCCCAATTGTTATCCTTCTAAACCCTTGTGTATATGTTTTAGCTGCATATTTTGGTAGAGATGAGATTATAGTAAAATCTATATCTCTAAGGTAGTATCAGGATGATGTATTGATTGCTTTAAAGGAACTACACATTTGGCACACATAGAAATAGGGCTGCTGTCTATTTAGAAGCAATGAAAGTTGCCTCACAATTTGCCTTGTATTGCTAATTTAATGACCGATATGTGGAAAAAGGAACTTATCTTGGAAAAGGGGCTAGAAGGAACCATATTTGGACCACAGAACTGCCCTCTGGTGCTCAATGGTGCCAATTCATCATCACATTCTTCCCCTCCCCCAAGGACCTACCTTCTGAGCAGCTCTCACCACCTTTGCCCAGGTTGCAATGGCATCGCGAGCCCCCCCAGGTGTAGTCATTGACACAGAAGCTGTCGGCAGGGCAGAGAGTTTCATCACAAGGCACGTCAAAGAGCCTTGACATCATGGCCACACTATTCTTCCCCTTCCTCTCTCCAGGAATGGGCTGGGGAGCCACTGTGGTCACGGGGAGAGATGCTGAGGTAGGGGGGACAAGCCTGGAAATGGTCTTTGGGTTAGATATAGATATCCTCTTGCTTTCCACCAAAAATTTCTTCTTCCCTCCTTTGGTAGCAGGAAGTGGTTTAACCTAAAGCCAGAAAAGGAAAGAGATGAACACAGGGCATGGCAACTGGACTGCTTTATTTATAGTTGTTGCCTAGTACTTAAAAACATGGTCACTCCCAAAAACCCTATGATGGAGACGGGCAAGATAGCACTGACTCCAACTTACGGACAAAGGGCTTGATGCTCAGGGACTTTCAGTGCCTTTCCCTGTATTACTCAGAAAATCAGCGGTAAAGCTGATATGACATGATTTATTCTTATTACAATATTATGAAGACACATGACTTTGTCAAGGAATTGTTCATTTCCTTATAATACCTGCTTTCCTGAAATTTCCCTTGATGGGAAATTTAAATATGTTTTTTGCCAGATTGTGAAGTCCGCAGGCAGGAGCTGCCTACAGAACTTCAGCAGGGCTGGTACTTCCCTACCACTAATTTATCAGCTCCTAGAGACTGATCGTCAGAGGAAACAAATCAGTGTTAAAAGCAAATGGGCCCATTTAAGTTTTAAGTAAAATGTTTATGGTCCATTGGCTAAACTGCCTTGTTCGGCAAGGAAACATAAACACCCTGGGTTTTGAGAGCAGAGATTACTGTTACCTCCTCAAAGGAAATATCCAAATCTAAGTCGTCTTCAAATCCTTCATCATCCTCACCGGCTCCCATGTCGGTGATATAATGGGGTCCATAGCGGCCACTTCCCGCCTCCTCAGGGCCTTCACAAAGAAAAGCAGCATGCCTTCCATCAGCACAGGCTTCGCACCGTGTCTAGCCTAACTCAGCCACAGGCAGAGCTGTACCGAATGGAACGCAGTGTATTGGAAACGTAACAACAAATTCAACACAGAAAAGGAAGCATCAATGGCCAAAATATATTTTAAAATGTTTCCTCTCATAAGTTATTAAGGAATTGCCCCCATTGAAACCAGAAAGCATTTCCATTTTATACTGACAACACTGGCAAAAATGTCAATGAGATAATAAAAATATTACTAAGCATGGGATCAATAAGGACTCCTACTCACCGTACCTGTGTAAACTGGTCCAGCCACTTTGTGAAATACTTGGAAATATTTCATAAAGTAGATGTTTGTTCATACCTAGCAATCCCACCCTAACTTACAAAAGCTACAGAAACTCTTGCACATGTGTACCAAGAGGCATGTGCAAAACAGGTTCATAGCATCAGAATTTGTGATCTTAAAAAATACTCCAAAATGCTATTTATAAGAACAAACTACATCCCAAATGTCCGTCAACAAAGAATGACTATGTTAGAATGGAGTACCATATAGCAGGGAAAGGAATGATTGATCATTTAATATATCAACATGGTTTAATCTCACATGATTTCATGCAAACAATGCAAGCTACAAAAGAACACATCAGTTTGATGACCTTAATGTAAAAGACAACAGCAAGCAAAACAATATATTACTTAAGGATACATATATATGTAATTTAAACTCTAAAAAAGCAGGACAATCACAATCACATAAATACCCAAGGGAGGACAGAACAAGGATGTGAACGAGGTGTGATTCACAGGGGCCTTTGACAGTATTCCATAAAATAAACATATATATATACATATACATATACATATATATATATATACATATATATATATATACACACATATATATATATATATATATATATATACACTTTTGATGTACTAAGTATTTCATTAAAAGGTCTTTAAAACAAAAAGGCAGATTTTAGTAAATACTCCCATAATCCCCCCCAAAAAAGGGGGCCCTATAGGTATCTTGGGGGCCAACCATTTCATCCATTTTAGCAGGACAACCAAAATCTTTCAGAACTGAAAGCTGGGCTGAGAAAAGCTTTCAGATGACAATACAGAGCATTGTCCTTTGAGGGACATTCAGTTGGCATTTTTATTCAACTGTCATCCACAAAATCCACTGATCCATGGAGCTCTGATTCAGGCTGCACACAGGAAGCACTCCACCAGGAGGGGGCAGCCTTTCAAAGAGCGGCTGCAGGGCACCTGAGTGTCCTCACAGTGGGTTTGGGCCGGCACAGGTACTAACCTGCTGGCCACTCTCAGCTGAACAAACCAGGTACCAGCCTTCAGGGCAGTAACAACTTTGACAACAGAAACTGACTTTGGGAGGTTGCTGATGCCCATTAGTTATTAGACATCCAGTGTTTGGATGACTAGTGAAAAAGAAAAAAGAAAAATTATGTAAAAAACATAAACTAAAGTTAAAGACATTTTGCTTTCAAAATAAGCTAAGTCAAGGACCATTCTCACAAAGACAAACTCACCCTCCTACTTTGTCCATCCAGGCCGCGACAACAAAAGTACCAGAAACGGACAGCTTGTAAACTGCAAACATTTATTTTTCACAGTTTTGCAGCCTGTGAAGTCCCAGCTCAAAGGGCTGGCAGTATCTGGTGAGGGCACAGATGTGCCTTCTCCCTGCATCTGCACATGCTGAAAAGGGCAAACAAGCCCCTTTGGGCCTCTTTAATAAGAGCGCTGATCCCATTCACAAGGACTCCACCCTTATGACCTAAGCACCTTCAAAGGCCCTACCTTGGGGGTTAGGATTTCAGCATATGAATTTGAGGGAGACATAAACATTCTGACCACAGCACTCCTCCAAACAAAATAGCAATTGAATCGAAAATGGAGCGGAAGGAAATGGCAGGAAGTCATTTTTGTCAGGGGGTGTCCTGTTGACCAGAAATCAATCTCTTCCTAGACCAGAAGAGAGAAATGTGGTCAGCAGATGACCCAGAGGCAGGGTGTAGTAAGCTGTTCTCAGGGGTTCAGGCTCATCTTGGTGGAGGTGAGATAAAGTGGAGGTGGTGTTCTCCCCTCTTCCACAGCAGCTCCCCAGTTCTATTTAAAGTAGTCACTGGTCAACTGAAAATTCAACGTGTCAATGCCAGATTGATACCTGGATGCAAGTTCTCTCAAGCCACCTGTGTGCAGCGTATCTGTGTGCCAGACATCTCCACACAAAAAGCCCTTGAGGACAGCTCCCTCCTCTCATCTCTATCTCTGTACAGCAAGCCGTACCCTTTATCTGTATTTTTGCTTTCCGCAATTTCAGTTACCCTCGATCAGCCACAGTCCAAAAATATTAAATAGGAAATTCCAGAAATAAACAATTTATAAGTTATGAGTAGCATGGTGAAATAGCTCACTGCCCTGCTCCGTCCTGCTGGGATATGAATTATGCCTCTGCCTGGCATATCCACACTGCATATGCTCCCTGCCCATTGGTCAGCAGCCGTCTCAGTTGTCAGATTCACCGTGGTGGTATCCAAGTGCCTATGTTCGATTTCATAATGCCCCCACAGTGCAAGAGCAGTGACTCTGTCCATTCAGATATGCCAAAGAAAAGCCATGAAGTGCAGCTTTTAAAAAATCAGATGCTGAGGTTGCTAAGATCTTACGGTAAGGTAAGCACAAATCTTCTATCTGTGAAATTGTGAAGAAGAAAAATGAAATTCACACTAGTTCCACTGCATATATAGGGTTCAGTACTATCTGTAATTTCAGGTATCCACTGGGGGTCTTGGAACACATCCCCCGTGGAGATGGAACTACTGTATCTCTCTCTCTCTCCTGGCCCCTCTTTCTTTCTCTTTCTCCCCTCTGTCCCTTCCCTTGCTCTCCATTTCTATCTCTGCCTCTCTCATATATCAGAATTGTCAGATTCCAGAAGAATAAATCCATTTGGTAGTAAAAGAATTATATAGCAGATACACAAAACAAGCTGGCTTTTGTCTTCAGTAAGTTGGTCTCTCTCCATCCAGGCTGTTCTCCCTTGCCCTGAGCACCTTCTTGGCACATTCTCAACAATGTTAAGATTCTTTTCATCTTTATCCTATGGTTTTCTATCTGAAAAATCACCTTCAGTGACTCTCCACTGCCCACAATATAAATTCTGGGCTTCTTAGTCAAGAATTCAAGGTTCTCAAACTAGCTTCTCTTTCCTTCTTCTTTCCCCCATCACCATGATTTATTGAATTCTACTCCCTTTCCCCTTCCTACCAGGTATTATTGGGGGCTTAACATGATATATTCCTAAACCTTTCAATAATCTTATAAGGTAAGTATGACTAATCCCATTTTGTACATAAGAAAACTGAAGCTAATAGTAGTTAAGTAATTTGCCTAAAATCAGAGAGTTTACAACTGGCTGAGCTGAACTCAAGTCCAAGGTCTGTCTGGTAACTGCTCTCCTAATCGCCGGTTGCAGAAGAAGCCACTGTGGAGGTAGGAAGATCCTAGAATTTGAGAAAATTACCATATATGGATCATTCTTCATGTGCCAGGAGCTTCTCATACATCACTTAAGTTAATCCTCACAAAATGCTATAAAATTGGTGTTATTACTCCTATTTTACCAAGTGGAGATATAGACACAGAGAGATGAAATAACTTGCTCAAAGGCAGGCAGACGGGGGATGGTAGGGCTAGCATTCATCCTTGGTTTCTCTTTTTACTACATCATGCTACTTCACCCGAATCCTAATTATGTTTTCAGGTTTTTGTTGTTTTTTAAAAAAATACTCTTTAAAGCTATATAATAGCCAAACTAGTCTACCAGTTCCCTCCTTAATGCAGCTTGTATTTTCTTACCCTAAGATTTTAGTTAATGCTTTTTTTTCCATTGCCATCTTCTCCCCACTCCTGTCTCCTTACACCCAACCTACCTATTATCCCATGTGGCATGCATTCTGTGGAGACAGACCGGAATGTGTGCCATGAAAAGACCAAAATAAAGCGACATTTAAAAAAGAAAACAGACCCTTCTGGGGAAAAATGGTGAATCCACAAAGTAAGAAGCCAACAAGACCTGTAGGACATTCCTTCATCTTCTCCTGGATAGGGCTGCCCAGCCATGGATATATGCCTCTAATTGTGAGCTCGGCATAAATGCCCATTGCTTGATAAAGTCAATGCATGTGTAAGATGGTATGTACATCTTCTGGACTCCTGGCCTTAGACTCTTGCCTTTGTGTTTACCAACTCAACTGTAAACCTTTGAGGGCAGAAACCATATTTCAGATTTCTTGATATCCTTTCCCTTCCTCCATGTCACTAACACTTCATGTACTCGACAAAGGTCAACACCTTTGAGGGGAGTGAGAGAAGACACTCCCACAGTGCTGAAATATGTCCTGCGCTTGCCAAACATGGTGGGACTCTGCCTCCCAATCCAAAGACCCCCAAAATTGCCACCAATCCTGTGCCTTTCCCTTTCCCCAACTCAAGCTAGAAGAATGGAAAGAGACCTTAGATACCACCCAGCCCAATCTTCTCATTTCACAAGCATGGAAACTGAGACCACAGAAGAAAATTGACTTAAAACCAAGACCATGCATCTCAGGAAAGGAAGCTCTCACTCTAGAACCAGATCATATGACTCCTAGTTCAATATCCATAATGCTCCATCACACTATTTTTTTGGCTTCAAGTATCTAGAGGTAGTTCCGTCTGAAGAACCTGGAACCTAGAGCAGTTGAGGGTTAGAGTGCAGGAGGCTGAGATCTCTTACTGCCCCTCCATCTGCTCTAGGAACTTCTGTTTCTTGAAGGGAACTCTGAAATTCAGAGAAAAGGACCACAAACGAATTGCTGCAGCTACGAAATGATACCATGATGAGAATGGAAATAATCCTAGATTCTCTGCTCATTTCAACAAGTAAAATAAGGCACATATTTCTCT